GCCTTTGATCTAGGCCATTTGTCCCACTCAGCCTTGGCTTAAGACAAAACTTTTGATGTAGTGGATCCCATTTGAAGTCACAGCTGAAAACACACCACCCCCAGGCTGCATGCAGGGAGGAGAGGTGGAAGAAACCCCAGGTTCCCGGCACACCCTTTGGTGTGAACAGAGCCTGGTGTCAGCAGGAGAGAAACCTGGGTTTCGCCGGAAGCTCCATGCCCTTGGGCATGTCACTGAACGAACCTCTGTGTGGCTCAGTGTCTTCATCTGCACCCCGTGTGCTCCGTGCTTGTTAGGAACACAGTGCGTAGCTCCCGCCAGCACCGCGTGGGTGACAGTTGTCATTAACAGCCACAAAGAACTGAGGTGTGGGAGCACAGTCTTTGAGGATGTTAATGTGAGCCAGCGCCCGTGCTGAGTTCTTGTGACATGCTACAACCGGAGGGTTGGGGTTTTTGTGTTGATCATAATACAAAGAGTAAGGAGAGGAGATAAAACAACTGACCTTTATTGAGCCTGCCTGGTGACCAAGCTGGGTCCTGACACTGCCTCCATCCCAGGTACCAGCACCTGGAGCCAACTAGATGTGAGCAAGACCGGGAAACCCATCCTGACCCCTTATCTCTGGGTAGCCATGGTCATCTAGAGTACACTGTGCTTCAGTCTCCCCATTCATAAAATGAGGATGCTGTTAATTAGCTCTTCCACGTGCTGCCCAAGGCTGTGGTTCTTGACTCACCTTGCAAGCATCAGGAAGAATTATTCATACAAACAGTAAGGAGAGGGAAATAAAACAGCAGACCTTCACTGAGCGGGCCATACTCGTCGGCGAAGTTCCATTATCGTGAGCAGGAATCTGCCTCCTCGGTGTTCCTCTGAGGGGAATTTGAATCTCTGCGTATAACGAGCAGGGTCTGATCATTATACAGCAGCTGTGTGTGCTATGGGATGGTGAGGTTTCTTTAGGCAGTTGAAGCTCTGAGAAGGCGGTAGCCATGAAGGCCGGTCCTTGTACCTGACTTACTCCTTCCTACTCCACCTCAGTTGTAGCTTTTGAACTTTGAAGTCAGGAACACCCTACCATGGATGAAACATAGTGGCCCTGTATGTTCATGGCCCCGTGTTGGGGACATGCTTTGCAGTGAAGAGCCCCTGAGGGGCCCAAATCAATGAGCAATCCACCACATGGGCATAGGGAAGAGTTGCCCTGGGGAAGCAATGGAAAGTCAGGGGGTGGTCCTGTGGGTGTGGGTGGCATGAGGAACCTATGAATTCTTCCTGTTTGTTATGGTGAGTTGAGCACCTTAGCTTTAGGCAGCACGTGGAAGAGTTAATTAATGGCATCCTCATTTTGTGTATGGGGATACTGAAGCACAGTGTAGTTCAGATGACCATGGCTACCCAGAGATAATGGGGTTAGGTGGGTTTCCCGGCCTTGCTCACATCTCTGGCTGGTTCCAGGTGCTGGAACCTGGGGTAGAGACAGAGTGTCAGGACCCAGCTTGGTCACCAGTTAGGGCATGATTAAGTATTATTGTTTTGAAAGTCAGAGGTGACTCGAGGGCCACTGGGTTTTGCCAGCTTTGTCCCATATCCTACCAGCCCCACTCTCCCTCCCTCGTGAACTTGACTGCCTTTGTCAGCGAGAGAAACAGTAGCCCTTTGTTCTCTCTGGATTCAGAACCCGTGTGCTGCATGGAACCATGTCCAGCACAGCGAGACTTGGAAGTGGACACCCGTGGTCAGGCCTTTCATTGAGATGCCCTTAACTCTCATGGAGAGGGGCAGACAGATCACACCCCTTCCAAGGGGAGAACAGGAAGTCTCTGGGAATGTTCTGGGAGCCAAGCGGTCAGAGAAACAGAATGGCGAACACACATTGAGTTCTTTATCTCAGAGTCCTGCCCTTGCCCTGTCTAGGAGACGGGGCTTTGTACCATTTTCTGAAGCATCCCCCTCCTGCAGTCACTCCCGTGGAGGCCCTCTGTGATGCACTCTCTCCTTTGCAGCGTCCCCTCTGCGGTGTTCTGGTTTCAGGAGCCCTTCACTTCCACCATGCACTGTCCAGGTCTCTGATGGGACCCATATCCTCCCGGGGCAGTGGGGAGATACTGAGGCTTCTGTGAGGATCTTTCTGGACAACATCCCTTGAAAATGATGGTAGCTTCTCTTAGACGACTCAGAGATGCTACTTCAAGGCCAGCTATGGCGGCACACACTTGTTACCCTGACACCCAGAAGGGAGATTCAGGAGGATGACTGCGAGTTCAGCTATAAAAACAGGAAAGATAGCTGGGTATAGAGGCTCTGGAGACAGCAGCCAGCGTGCAGATCTCTGTGAGTTCAAGGTCATCCTGGTCTACATAGAGAGTTCCAGGACAGCCAGGGCTACATAGAAAAACCCTATGAAGACCGGGGAGGGGGGTTTGGGGGAGAGATGCCATGGCAGGAGGCAGGCTGGCCATGCTGCAGAGTGGAGCCACACCAGGCCTGATGGGTGTCCCAAGTTGCTGTTCTCGTGAAAGGGCTTTACTGGCATAAAAATGCTTGGAAAATACACAAAGGAAGGTGGCTGGCTTCCAGACTCAACTGTTTACCTTTTGCAGAGCAGCCAGGAACACAGGGAGCTTATTTTCCAAACAGCCCCCGGTTGTCAGGTCTACAGTCCTCAGGCGGATGCCCACCTCCTTCCCCGAGCCTCAGGGGGGTCCCTGACTTTTCTCTGGCTGGTTTCTGTTCCTGCAAACTCCAGTGGCCCAAGAGCCATCCCTAACCTCTAGAACAACAATAATTAACATATGCACGCCCTATGCGGTAACCAGCTTAGGCTCTGACGCTGTGCCCGCTTCCCCAGTACCATCCAGGGAGAACTGGAGATGTGAAGACCAGCATGGTAGTTCTGTGTGGACTTGGGTATTGTGCCTGCTGTCACTCTTGGGATCTCTCTTCATAGTTGTCGTGGTCTGAAGAATATGGGGCTTCAGTTTGTGGTGCCTGACATCGTGGAACCCAGCAGGCATGGCTGTAGTTCCTTGGGTGCCTCTTCTCGTTCTGGTAGCTTCTCCACTTCCTTCAGATCCGTTGGGGTTGGATGAGAAGGTAGTGTGAAATCAGCTTATAGAACCAGAGAGACCCTTTCAGTTTCCTTGGAGGAAACTGAGGCCGAGGGGCCGACAGTGGCATTTCTGCTGGGCCTCAGTCTGCTCCCAGCTACACGATGTGGTTGGTCTTTTGTCTCCTTAGGTTCTCGGTGTTCTGATCCTGGGAGATAGCAACGTCATCCCCACCTCCTTGCCTTGCTGTGAGGTCTCAGAAGACACCCAGGAGGCAGAGTCAGGGTGATCACCTTAAGCTTGAGACCAGCCAGACCCAATTTCAAATAACAGCAAAAGACGCTTGGTCTGCATCCTTTCCCCTCCCCAGTCTGGTGTCTTGGCTGTATTTGTTTTGTTTGGTATACAAGCTTGTCACCATGGGAGGGAAGCATGGTCCTTGATGATTTCTCATTGGGAGGTCTCTGGTACTTTTTTTCCCCCTTAAAATAGGAGTGACCTTTTAACATCTGTCCTGGCAGACCATAAAAAATGAAGCTAAGGACAGCAGGAAAGAGCTGGCACATTCCAAAGGCTTATCAGAAAAGTTAAAATACGGGTGTATCTGCAGCAGGTGTGAGTGGGGCCTGAGGGGCCGACAAGACAGAATACGTAGTATGAACAAGTGTGGGGAATTGTCACCACCCGTAGGCCTGCTGGGACAGGGCAGCCAAAAATGTCACTGGAGCCACAGAGATAGTCGGTAATCTTGGGGAGATGGGCTGTGCAGAAATACCAGGATTGAAGGTGGCATGAGGCCCAGGTGCGGGGACCAGTGCTCTGACCTGCCCTCCTTCTCGCCTTCCTCCAGGGCCCCAAGCTGTGATTTTGTTAATGGACAGCAGCTATGTGGTTGTGGCTTTTGAGATTGCGACAGCAGGGGACCCAGTGGACAAGGGGCAGAGGGTGGGCCGGGAGATCAGATCAGTTGCCTCAGGTCTTACTTTGCATCCTAGCCGTACTCTTCCACCCAGATCTGAGGCACGTTTTAAAATTCTCTGCCCTCACTTGCTTTGTTCGTGGTATCCTGTCCCATAGTGGCTGGGAATAAAAGGAGACAGATAGGTATGTCATTCGTGTGCCGTCTCCTCAGAATGACCGTTTGTAGCGGCTTTGTGTCATGAATGATGTGGCCACAGCCAGCCCCGAATCCTGGAGCTAGCTGCATTTGAGGATGGGGAGTGAGTCAGGGCTGGCCTTCTCTGGCCTTGCTGAGGCCATGTGGGGGGTCAGCCAGGTGCCAGCGTCAACTTGCCTCCAGAGTCTGGCCTTGCAGGTGGTGGTGGCCCTGTGCTGGCGGCAGACATCTGGCGCATCAGGAAGCACGTTGTCCGGCCGCCCCGGCTGTTGGCAGGTGCTCTTGGCTTGGGGTCAGGTGATACTGAATATCAACTGGCCACTCTGGTTCTCTTGAGGCTTGATCTTCCCAACCCTGTGCTCTTGAAAAAACAAACACATTCCTCACCGGAGCAGGGCACACAGTGCACAACCGATCACAGGCAGCTCTGTGCTTGGGCACCCCTCCGCTGTGGGTGACACAGCCCGGTCTCAGGGTGGAATGCAAGGCAGCGACTCCCACGCTTGCCAAGGACATCACTCTGCCTTAGAGGGGAAGAACATGTGCTTAGACGGAGTTTTGACTGACTGGTCATTTTTCTTTATCGCTCTGAGCGTTGGTTGGGCAGTTGAGGTGTTTAATAAATGCTTTCTCCGTACATCCCGGGTGTGGCATCCCCTGCTCGTGTGTTTTCTGCCTTTGGGGGATCCTACGTATAAATGATGAGTGGTGGGGCCCTTGAGTTCTTGTTCTGTCAGTCCAGTCACTTGCCCTCTGGGGTGCTACCGGGACTCAGGGGTCCCAGATGTGGACTCAGGCACTGAACCGCTTCTTATGTTTCCACCTTGCAGCTGAACCTCAGCCGGCCAATTGAGGAGCAGGGTCCCCTGGACGTCATCATCCACAAGCTGACGGATGTCATCCTCGAGGCTGATCAGAATGACAGCCAGTCCCTGGAACTGGTGCACAGATTCCAAGTGAGTGAGGGTGCTGATGCCTGGCTATGGGGCCTGTGGGGGTTGGGGAAGGCCAGGTTGGCCGTGCAGCTTAGAGCTGCAACATCTGTAGAAATGGTTCTGCCCCTGACAAGCTGTGGTTTCCTGGGCGAGTGCTCAGTTGCAGGCCGGACCTCAGGCTTGAGTGTAACCCAGGTTTGATGTCCTGTTCATGGTCAGAGAGCTGCTGAGTCCAGATAAGGTTTCTGTGTCTTCAGGGCAGGTATGCTCAGCACTGGCTGGTGACTTCATTTTGACCCCAGGATGGGACCCCTCTGTTGCACCTGGGGTCAAGGGTTCCTTAAAATTTTTGAACCTTGGAAAAGCCCCTGTATAATTTGATATTGTGTATGCCTTGCTTGACATTTCTCATGGGCCTGAGGGGTGTTCCCTGCTCCTTACCCGTTTCCCCAGCAGCTCCAGATCCTGACCCCTGGATGATCTGTCTGTCACCTTAGGGTTTCCATGTGATGCTGCTGTTGCTGCCACTGCTGACTTGCCCCTGGCAGCCAGCGCAGGGGTCATGAAACAAAGTCATATTATCAGCAGAAATGCAGCTGAAATAGTGGCCGTTCTCGGGCCTCCCTAGGACACGGGGTGCTTGAACCAGCACTTTTCATCTGCAGTAATTGGAGGTTGGCGATCCTTTCCTCGGCCAGGACAAAGGGACTCTTGTCACACAGCAGCCATCCTGCTGACAGTGTTCCTCTATGCCACGTGTTCAGGGTTGGTGGCCTCAGCCCCCCGAGCATCTCACGGCTCTCACCCACTTCCTGGAGACCTCTTGCTGTGGAGTTTCTTTTCCCCGCCAGTTGCAGCTACTCTTTGCCTCCTGCATGCATTCTAGGGGCAGCCACAATGAGGTAGGGATTGTCCCCGTGGACCTCTATATAAAGTCCCTCTCATTTGCTGAGCTCCGTCTTCTCATCGGCTGAGGCTATGGCCATGGTCCTCCTCCACCTTGTGGAGCCTCAGTTTTCTTGCTTGTCAAATGGGTGCTTGCAGGGAGGAGCAGCTGGGCAGCGACGGAAAGTGCTTCCGTGCTGGGTCCTGGAGGGTGCTCGCCGCTGGTACGTGCTGTGCTTACTGCCTGGGTTTCTGCTGTGCAGTTAGTTCTTCGGGCCCTTCTCTAGAGTGAGGCAAGGCCGGAAGGTTTGCCCTGACTGGCCCCCTCTCTGTGGCGTGGACTTAGCCCCCAAAGCAGCCAACCTGAGCCCATTTTATCTCTCCATCCCTCAGGGCAGGTCTCCTTGTCTGCTTTGTTTTATAACCAGGAAACTAAGGCTCAGAGGTGTGTGGGGTGTGGCAGGGGCAGGGCTCAGTATTGACTTTCTGAATCCTCTGCTTGCTCCCTGTCGGTGGCGTTTACACTACTCTCAGTGACCAGGTATTCACCTGCCTTCACCACCATCCTATGGGTGCTCTGGGCACTCAGTAAAGCAGCCACCATTGTCACCCCCCACTCAGGCCTCCTGTCCTCTAGGAGGCCCCTAGTGGCTAATTCCTATGCCTACAGCTCCTTAGGCACTGGTTCTCTGGGGAGACATCAGAACCTGGGTAGCTGTGTAGACCCTTGAGGCCGAAATGTCTGCCAGTCCCACAGAGGACAGTGTTGGCACCTTGCAGGGACCCTGCCAAGCCTGGTCTGAGAACAGCAGGCCAGGTATAAGGAGAGCGATGATGACTTCAGCAGAGATAGTTACTGCCACGCGGTGTGGGCTTTGCTGTGAACTACCCAGGTGTGACTACCTCCAGGTGAGGAGGGGGTGCAGGTTGGGTCGTGTGGGACTCACTTTTTTGTTGCTGTAGAGACACCACGACCAGAGTGACTTACAGGAGGGTTTATTTTAGCTTCCGGTTCCGTAATGCCGGGACAGCACGGCAGTAGATGGCAGCCTAGCTGCTGGAGCAGGGAGCTAAGAGCTCACACCCTCCACTCAGCTGTGAAGCAGGGGTGAACTGGAAGTAGATGAGGCGTTGCGTTCTTGAAGCCCACCTCCAGCTGCATCCTTCTCCTTCTTCCATCAAGACTGTACCACCCAAACCTCCCCAGTGACACCACCAGGGGACCAAGTATTCATGTGCCTGAGACCACAGGGGGCATTTCTCATTTAAACCACCATAGGTGTCTCTCTCAGGTCCCTGCCCTGCCACTTCTCCAGAGACAAAGGAGAGGAAGGGCCTTGTAACCCCGATAGTATACATTTGTCATCCTTAAGATGGCATGCTCTGAAGCTAGAGAGGAGGCTCTGAGGTTAAGAGCACTGGTTGCTCTTCCAGAGGACCCAGGTTCATCCCAGCACACACATGGCAGCTCACAACTATTTGTGAATCTTGTTCCAAGGAGACAAAGCGTTCTTTCTGGCCCCCATGGACATCAGGCACACATGTGGTGCACAGACATGCATGTAGGCAAAACAGACATATGCATGCTGCTGCTGATAATAAAGTTCTTTAAAATTAATAATAATAATAATAATAATGAGGAGGAGGCGGCGCCGTATTCCTGGAGCAAATGTGGCCCGAGTGCCTGTGATTTCCCAGGCATTGCCATGGTCATGTTCATTTCAATCAGTACCATTTTTCTGTAAAGGCTTAGTCTGGTCAGTAGTTAACTCCGTGCCCCCTCAGGGCACTGACCCCTTCCCGATACTCCAGACACACGAGAGCCCTCAGTCTAGGGCAGCTGCCAAAGAACATTCCGGAGAACATGTGCTTATGGACTGTCTTGGAGGGAGGGTCTTGGCTGGTTTCTGGAGCCTGCCATTTGCAGAGCACACACATTGCTAACGTCTTGTCTAGGATGGTAGCCTTCAGCTAGGTATTTCTGGGGAAAATTCTGAGAACAGTCTGTTTCATCAAGAAGCCAGATACATGATAAAGACCAGGATGGTCTTCCTGGGGAAGAGACCAGCTCTTTTTGAGAAAGCATCAGGCTGCATTCCTCAGAGGCCCCAGGAGGTTAGCAGGAGTGTATGTGTGTGTGGGGGGGGGGGGCGATGGGATGATGGGGGCACAGTGACACCAGCCTAAGACAGATTGAGGGACTCAGGATGAAGTCTGGGGATTAGGACTCTTGGGGCAGGCCGCTTGGAGCTGTCAGTACTGACCTGATCATTTCCCTGAGAGGTAGAAGGTCAGAAGCCAGGCAACTTGGACCTGGGATTTGACACTTGACCTTGACCATGCCATGGCTTTCATTTTCAAACTCTTGCTTGATTTTATCTGTTGGACATTAGCAAGAAGCATTGGCTTGGGACCCAAGAGGGACAGGGATGTCATAATAGGCATATTGATTTCAGGAGCAAGAAGCAGCACCCAAAGCCCGGTGTGCAGATAGACCCCTCCTGCACCTTAAGTGTATGTACAACAGAGCCAAGTAAAGGGGCCCTGCCCCAGTCAGGGCTCTGCCAAAAGGGCCCCATATGTATTCGGGTCCCTAGGGAACCGTTGTGGGAAACGATGGGGTCTGGAGATGTTCCTGATAGCCCTAGAGCACAGTGTTCTGTGGATGCTGTCCCGAGCCTCATCCTCAGGGAAGGGAGGTTTGGAACTGTGGCCAGTTCCCTCCTTGTGTCCAGGTAAGCACGTGGGCGGGTGTGGACCTGGTGCATATGCAGGCCAGGCAAGTTGGTTGCCACGGGAACCACTTCCAGTCAGTTTTTCTTTTGGATTAACCTCACAATAGAGGATCACTGGGATGAGTCAGTTGTTTTTCTGTTCCAAGGGTCATGTGGAACCTGCAGTCTGGCGCCTTTGCCCACTGCCTGAGACTTGGTTATCAGTGCACAGACATGGGCAAAGGTCCTCCAGGGCCCTCCTGGGCCAGTGGGGATGGGTGTGACTGATATAGAGGAACCTTGGGGCCTCTTGTCTTTTCCTTCTGTCTTGTCACTTTTAGTACCACCTTTCTAGTATGATTGCAATGGTACGAACTGGTGGCCTTTTTGGGCTCCAGAATCTCTGTAGGTAGAGTATGCCAGTTGTCACCCACCAGGCATGTGGCTCTTTCGGGTCCCTGATAAGGTTAAAGGGAGACCTGAATTCAAACTGATGTTTTCTCCCCATCATTTGTGTGTGTGCATGTGCTCGTGTGTATGAGTTTGTGGGCATGTGTGTACATATACATACATCGTGATATGGAGACTTTTTTTTTGTTTTTTTGATTCAGGGTCTCTTTGGCCTGAAACTTGCCAAGTAGGCTAGCCTAGCTGGTTAGCAAGCTATAGGGATCTGCCTCCCCAACCCTGAGATTTTAAGCATATGCTGCCATGCTCGGTTCTGTCTCTGTCTGTCTGTCTGTCTGTCTGTCTGTCTCTCTCTCTCTCTCTCAATCCTTGGGATTGAACGCAGGTTCTCATTCATTGTAAGGTGAGTATTTTACCAGTTTGCCTGACTCCTCAGCCCTTCCTCTCCATATTGATCATATGGAAGGAGGTCAGTTGTCTCCAGTATTCCTGGAATGGTCTGTCTGTCTGGTTTTTTGTTTGTTTGTTTTTATTTTGTTTTGTTTTGTTTTCTTTTTTTAAGACAGGGTCTCACTACATAGCTCTGGCTGTCCTGAAACTCACGATGTAGACCAGGCTGGCCTCAAACTCAGCGATCTGCCTTTGTCTGCCTCCCAAATGCTAGGATTAAAGTTGTGCGCCACTTTGCCTGGCTCTGAACACGTTCTTTAAAGTTAACCTCATGTGGTCCTCCTAACTCTTCCTTGTCACACTAACTTTCCACAACAGCTGCTCAAGCCTGACTCTTGCCCGCCCTGTGCGCAGGCGTCTCCTACAGCCAAGATCCCCTTCCTGAGGACCGCCTTCCTCCCAGTAGTAGATACAGCTCCTGTCCCAAGTTCTCCCCACCTTGGCCTTTACTTCCCACCATTTGACAATTAATAATTCATCATCTGCTGTTGTCTCTCCTGGGGCCACCTGCTCCCAGGACCTTTGTTCTCACTACTGCCCTTTGCACCTGGCATTTGACATTTC